AATTGACCCCCAATCTGATGTCATTGGTCAACTTCAAATTGATCCCCAATCTGCTGCCATTGGTCAACCTCAAATTGACCCCAATCTGCTGCCATTGGTCAACCCCAAATTGACCCCCAATCTACTGTCATTGATCAACCTTTAATTGACCCCCAATCTGCTGCCATTGGTCAACTTTAAATTGACCCCTAATCTGCTGCCATTGGTCAACCCCAAATTGACCCCCAATCTGCTGTCATTGATCAACCTTTAATTGACCCCCAATCTGCTGCCATTGGTCAACTTCAAATTGACCACCAATCTGCTGCCATTGGTTAACCTCAAATTGACCCCCAATCTGCTGCCATTGGCCAACCTCAAATTGACCCCCAATCTGCTGTCATTGATCAACCTTAAATTGACCCTCAATCTGCTGCGATTGGGTGTAAACTTAAGGTTGACCAATCTGCTGCCATTAATCAACCTCAGGTTTACCCCCAATCTGCTGCATTGGTCAACCTTAACTTGACCACCAATATGCTGCCATTGGTCAACCCCAAATGGACCCCCATCTGCTGCCATTGGTCAACCTCAAATTGACTCCCAATCTGCTGCCATTGGTTAACTTCAAATTGACCCCCAATCTGCTGCCATTGGTCAACCTTAAATTGACACCCAATCTGCTGCCATTAATCAACCTCAAATTTAACCCCACCCTTGGCCATTGGCCAACCTCAAAATGACCCCCATCCTGCTGCCATTGGTCAACTTCAGATTGACCTCAATTTGCTGCCATTGGTTAACCTCAAATTGACCCCAATCTGCTGCTATTGGCCAACCTCAAATTGACCCCCAATCTGCTGCCATTGGTCAACCTTTAATTGACCCCTAATCTGCTGCCATTGGTCAACTTCAAATTGACCCCCAATCTGCTGCCATTGGTCAACCTTTAATTGACCCCTAATCTGCTGCCATTGGTCAACTTCAAATTGACCCCCAATCTGCTGCCATTGGTCAACCTTTAATTGACCCCTAATCTGCTGCCATTGGTCAACTTCAAATTGACCCCTAATCTGCTGCCACTGTTCAACAATAAATTGACCACCAATCTGCAGCCATTGGTTAACCTTAAATTGACCCCCAATCTGCTGCCATTGGTTAACTTCAAATTGACCCCCAATCTGCTGCCATTGGTCAACCTCAAGTTTACCCCAAATCTGCTGCCATTAATCAACCTCAAGTTTACCCCCATCTGCTGCCATTGGTCAACCTCAAATTGACCACCAATCTGCTGCCATTAACCATCCTCAAATTGACCTACAATCTGCTGCCACTGGTTAACCCTTAAATTGACCACCAATTTGCTGCCATTGGTTAACCTCAAATTGACCCCAAATCTGCTCCATTGGTCAACCACGAAAACACTTCCTCACTCTCCTCTCCCTCAGTGATCAGACTGCAACATTATAACCTTGTAAAAATGCTGATGGATGATGCCTGAATAAAGATGGCTTCGTCCTTCTGGAGAGAAAAGAACATGTGAAGGCATTGTCCGGTGGGAGTATTGTAATCTCTGTGGGAGGTGATAAATACCTGTAAATGTTACATATTGTTAGCATGTATGCTCTTAAAATAAAATAAAAATGTGCACATTGTGAGGTCCAGTTTAAAGTGTAACCAGCACTGGTCTCTATGAATCTCTTCTGCTCATTGAATTAAAGGTTAGGAAGCACAGAAACAGCTTAAGTAAAGGTCTGCGCTGTGTGCAAATACCCTTTCAGAAATAATGAAAGCAGCGGAGAGGCGCGCCGTTCTATAAGAGAGGTCCACCGAAAGTGTAAGGAAATGTCAGTGATAGAAAAATGGGAAATCATTGATGCATAGAGGAATTCTTTTATAGTAATTACAGAAGGACGGAATATAGACGGAAGAAAATAAACTAATTTCTATTAAAAGTGGAAATATCAATGTGTGTGGCGGATGTAATGAAGGCAGGACGAGGGCTGCACAGGGATTCCTCTGACACAATTCATGGGTGTGCGGCATTGAGGGGCTCAGCTCCATTTATGTATTTTGCTGCACTCCAAAGTCTTTTCCAGGCTCCTGATATGAAAGGGGGGACTCTGTTGTGAAGGGGGAGCTCCTGATATGAAAGGGGGGACTCTGATGGGAAGGGGGAGAGCTCCTGATATGAAAGGGGGGCTCCTGGTGTGAGGGT